CATTCTACCATGCGCTCAGAAATGTCAAGAGAAAGCCCTAGTGGATCGATGCTGGAGAGTAATCGATGACAATATGGAGCAGGTAGCGAAATCAGATGGATTTGTTACAATTGAGAGGAACTTACTCGAAACAGTGGTAATCAGAGATACACTGAATATTGAAGAGATAGATCTGTTCAAAGCCGTTGACATGTGGGCCTCAAAAGAATGTGAGAGACAAGGTTTAGAGGCGGATGGCACAACCAAAAGAAGAATTCTTGGAGAAGAAATTGTCAAAGCAATTCGCTTCCCAGTTATAGATCAAAAAGATTTTGCCGACGTCGTGTTGGACAGTGACATCCTAAACCTAGTCGAAGTTAAGACCCTGGTCAAATATCGAAGTTCGGTGCTTTGTCATCCATTAAGATTCTCAGACAAGAGAAGATCATCTGTTCCTCGTGTCTGTGGCAAAACTCAACGTTGTTTCAGATTCCAGTCCTTTATTTCTCTTTCCAAAGACGATGTATTTGAGAAAATACACATCATTGAGTTTTCTGTGTACAGTAAAATTTTGTTACACGGGGTATGTCTCTGTGGCGGTTACAGCGAGAACCTGATTGAGCTTAGCCTATGGAACAACAAAGGTACACTAAATCGTGTAACTGGAACGTTTTCCGTCAACCTGTATGAGGAAAATTCATTTCCGTTCTATGCTTACCAAATCTTATTTCCCAAAAATGTTGTTTTGAAGGAAAACACCACATACCGCATGGAGGCAAGAACAAGTCATCCAAGTTCATGGTGTGGAGAAAAAATTCTCCACCAAGTTACTAGTTCAGGTGTAAAATTTACATTTAAGTCCATTGTTGGTAAAGACTTTCCTGTATTGCTATTCTCTAAATTACCCTGAATAGAATATTATTACAGAAAGGAATCTGGATCTTTATTTCCTTTGGATCGTTCTCCCATAATGTTAATGATCACAGGCCATAGCTTTGTTTTATAACAACCAAGGGTAGATTATTAAGATGTACTTTGAAGTAAAGTATTTACGAAAATTGAGAAAGTAGAGGAATATTCTACTAAGAAGAAAATGTTCCTCGTTTATAGTAGTTGTAAAGAGATAAAGTAAATAGTCTATAAAAGCGAGAAGAGAGGACTCTGCTATCTACTAAGATCTATTCCTATATTTAGCATCACAGTAAAGGGCTTTGGTCAGGGAAAACTTTGCTATTCGGCTCCATTCAGATTATCGCTCTGTAAAACAACGTAAACGGATTCATTTTCCTTGAAATGATCTCCTCAAGATTGATATAAGTTACAATTTCTACAACGTTGTGACCCTTCAGTGGTATATGTTACTCAAGAATCTTTCAGAGTGCACGTTCATATGCACAACTCAAAATTTGTAGCAAGTGCTGTTGGCTTTCCATTCAAGAGCTTTTCGAAACACAAATATGATCGAAGGTGTAGAATCATAATTTCAAGGAAGTTCATCTTCTAATCATCAATGGATGGAAAATTCCGACGTTAAACTATAAAGAAATAATCGAGTAAAATCAGGAGACCTTAAGCACCATCTTCATTTTATCAAATGTATTGCAGCTGTAATAAAAAAAAACAAACCAAGCACCACTAAAAGTAGGATTATTTCTGTAATCGAGTATTACCCGCATCGTCTGTGCAGTGAGTATTACAACTTGAAATTTTTCTCATATTCTTTAGGGATGATATTTTTTACAAATCTTTTGCAATTTTTACTTTCACTACTGGTGGTATTTTTTTTTATCTACTGCGTAGATTAGTTGCAGGCAGGTTGCCGTTATATTGCATATTTGACTGCATGCGGTTCTCAACCAGTTGTTTGTCTATAGAGCCTTGATAAGGGGAAATAAAATTCGTTTTTCACGTCCAGGTTATTTATCCAGCTTCCTTGAGGCTATCGTAAGGGTGTCATGCCCTCCGTAAGATGAAGTCGGACTCTCGTATAAGCCTATCATAAAAAACCAAGACTTTTCAACACCCCTGTTCCAGAAATGTCCAGAAGTCACGCCCAGCGCTGGGTGACACCTGTTGAAGTCCTAAATGTAATAACTGTCCTAAATGTAATGAAGTCCTAAAAGTAATAAAGTCCTAAATGTAATAACATTTGGTCCTAAAAGTAATAAAGTCTTAAATGTAATAACATTTGGTCCTAAATGTAATAAAGTCCTTGATATAATAACATTTAGTCCTAGACGTAATAAGCCTCCAATGCAATCGTTGAACTCCTTCAGTGCATTGTTGTTATGGCGGACATCCACATTGAGATGTTAGTGACAGCTGTTGCACCAAACATCGCTGATCAGTATACATGTCATATTACGGGCTCGCTGATATCAATCAGCGTCTTTTTACTTGCTAGACATAAGAAATATCAGCAGTCGAAGTATGGTCCATAAGGCGGTTTATTGATCGAGTTGAAGAAAATCATTTCCAGCCCAAAGTGGGCAAGTGCTTGGCTGGAAGCTCAATAGGATGGAATCGGTACGTAATCATTAAGACTTTTTGGAAAAGAAATTGACTACAATTGATGATGAACTAGCATGCTATTGTTGATGTTATCGTTCGTGTTAAAGTCTTAAGTAGTGATGCAACATTTTAGAGCAGTTTGAATGATTTCGCTGTGTCACATGTTCATCCAAAAGAAAATTATTATTATCAGTAGCGTTACTGAAATTTTGCACATCAATGTTATTCAGTGTCAGTTGATTTTAATGAAACATTTGAGTTCATTTTAAGAATGACTATCCTGATTTACTCAATTTTGAACTTAGGGTATTGCATTTCTAGCCCTCTATGGCTTTACTGGGATAACATATGATTGGTCAGTAGATATCTTGCTCTGTAAGTCACTTTATCATATAGCTAGCAGCGCACGCGGGCTGAAGTGAATCCTGTGTTCTGATTGGCTACCTGAGCGGGCATGATGGGCCCACCCTCGCCCGCTCGGATTCCCCATATTGATCCCACGCAAGAAAAGTTAGAAATTTCGTAACTTTTGGACAATGTTTGCGTATACATGGAAAAAAAATAAACGACCCTCCTGGGTTTATTGTGTTGCAAACATAGTTGGCTTTCACCATCGGCTCTCGAAATAAACAGGCCATTCTTGATTCTTATCAAAGCGAAATCTTTTGCTATACAATGAATCCTTTAATGATTAAGCCAAGAGAATATAAACTCTCTTGACCAAGCTTGTATGGTCAAGATTACTGGATATTAGCCTCGTTCCTTTTCTACTTTTTTATGGACCGAGACTTCGTCTCAGTCCATAAAAACGCAAAAAAAAAAAAGAACTCGGCTAATATCCAGCCATTTTGACCTCACGCTTGGTCAATAACGCATATGGATATATTTTATGCAGACCCGTACAAATCTGGCAAGGGAAGACAGTACAAAAAATGCCCTTCCGAGCCCAGAATTTGTCTAACGTATAACTTGAGTTGGTGGACTTCCTTTTCCTTGTAATTCGGTTCATGAAGTGTGAACTTCAGCACTGATGACAGAAGTATATCGTCAAAATCTGTTACACTTAAGAGTCTGAGCCAATGATATAAAGAGAGCTATTGGTCAACGTTCTCATTGCTTTTGCGTCCGTCAATTTGATGCCAAAAGCACATCAGTATCAGTATAAGGTTTTGTAGCCAATGTTTCTCAACCTACGTCTTTAGCAAATAAAAAGACACTGATTAATATCAGTGAGCCCGCAATATTCCATGAATATTGGTCAGAGGATTCTTTGGTGCAACAGCTGTCACTTTGACATCTCAATGTTAGCGCAGTTGCAACGATTGCATAGGAGGCTTATTACATTTAGGACCGAACGTTATTACATTCATGGCTTTATTACATTTAGGACCAAATGTTATTACATTTAGGACTTTATTACATTTAGGACAGTTATTACAATTAGGACTTCAACAGACATCCCCTAAAACAACTGCGTAGGGGACCACTACGTATCAGAAAAACAGAAGCGTTGATTTTGCCTCAAAAGATGCGACAACACCATGAATGTTGCCGCTCACTGAAAAAGTAAATTTCTTCGAGATCGATTGTTTTGAAACGTAACAGCCGGCGAAGAAGGAAAAAACGTGCAAGTGTACAATCAACACAACAGTACAAGAATGACGTTGAGGAGAATTCCGTGGATTCTATAGCACCCCGTGCGTGTCGGGACAAAACAATGACTTTTCAATTTAAATAAAAGGCAGTAATGCTCATAAATGTTAAAAAAATTCTCCCCATACTTAGAAGTATTCCAAAGTCTTACCCCGCACTTGTTTTATGAGTGTCCAAACTCACGCTAAACTTTCCGTAACTGTTTATGGTGGATTATTACTTTATCTTCGCGGTGACTTTCATTACTAGAAAAAAATTTCTCAACTCATTTGAGGAAAAAATTTCGTTTAAATTGAACCCGTCTTTTTGAGCCAAGTTATTTCTTTGAAGCTATTCTCTGTCGAACAAACAAACCCCTCGGAAAAAGGTAAAGGGGGTAATTTTCTAAAGAAACTGTAGTGCTGCGTCGTTACGAAAGTTTAACAGGGTAATTAAGTATTATCAGCTGAGTTGATAATGTAAGTTGGCCACCGTAAAGAGTTTCAGAGCGACGTTTCGAGCGTTAGCCCATCGTCAGAGCGAATGACGAAGGGCTGACGCTCGAAACGTCCGCTTTGAAACTTGCTACGGTGACCAATTTACGTGATCAACTCAGTTGATAATACTAAATTACCCCCGGAAAAGGGTATTGTTACTGTCGACACCCACTAAAAATCTGTTATTTTTCCAAATTCGCACCCACGATGGAATGAGAGGGTGATCATTCTAGCATAGTAACCCAATATGCAAAAATGTCTTTGCGTTTAATTCTAATCACTTCTTAAGCAGATGCTTGTCTGTAATTGTCATTTTTATCACTAAAGAAGAAAACTTTTAAGTTGTCCAGCTTGCCTAAATTTCTACGATATTACCCCGATATGTCTATGGCTAAGATGAATTGGCAGACAAAAAAGCTCACCATTAGAGAAAGGAGTGAGTTTATTTTTAACAACGATCTGTTTAGCGATGTTAGGTTTGTTGTCTCGGGAGTAATTGGCAAATGTGAAAACAAGAAAAGTATTCCTGCTCACAAGTTTGTGTTGTCAATTAGTAGCCCTGTGTTTGAAGCCATGTTTTACGGTGAGTTGGCGGAGACTAAAGACTCTATTGAACTGCCTGACTGTGATTACGAGAGTTTGTTGGAGTTTTTTCGTTACATGTACAGCGATGAAGTGGGTTTGAATGGAGGTAATGTGATGGGAGTGTTTTATTTGGCGAAGAAATACATGGTGCCTTCGCTGGCTGATAAATGTGCGCGACATTTACGGCACAACTTAGATGAATCGAATGTGTTCAGTGTTTTGAAATTTGCACAGAAATATGATGAGACGAACCTTGTGGAAAATTGCTGGAAAGTGATAGATGAACGCACCGCAGAAGCTGTAAAATCTCGGAATGGATTCTTGACAATTGAAAGATCCTTACTCGAAGCTTTAGTTGAAAGAGACTCGTTGAATATCAATGAAGTGGAACTGTTTAAAGCCGTTGATTTGTGGGCTATAAATGCTTGTAAAAAGCAGGGTTTAGTGGCGAATGGATCAACAAAGAGAACAATTCTTGGAGAAAGAGTAGTCAAGGCAATCCGCTTTCCTACGATGAAGCAAGAAGATTTCGCCCTGGTGGCACTTGACAGCAAAATATTAACAGCAGAAGAAATTGTGAGTGTTATCAAGCGTATCAACTTAGTATCGAGTGCTCTGTTGCTGTTTCCAGAAACGAAGAGATCTGGTTTCGTCGGTGAAATCCAGCGGTGCTGTAGGTTTGGTTCTGTCTCTCACAACAAATGGAGTTATGCGGGCTCTTCCAAAGACTGCGTGAATCTTTGCGCTGACAGAGAGATTACGTTACATGGGCTTCGGCTCTTTGGAGAGGACCAAAATAGCTACTGGGTTGATATGGAGATCAAAATTGCCAAGAACAAGTCCGTTCTATTATCAAAAGCAGGATGGTTTAAATCAGAGGCCTTGTCAAGCAATTTTGGTCACTATCATGGATTTGAGGTTTTTTTTGACGCTCCTCTTGTGTTGAAAAAAAATCAGTCATACTCTGTGGAAGCTTTGATCATAGGTTCGGATTCGATGCATGGAAAAAACGGTCACGAAATAGTAAAATGTTGCGGCGTAACGATCACGTTTACAAATAGTAAGTACTCTGGTAATGGAACAAGCGTTAGTCGGGGTCAGTTCCCTGACATATTATTCACTGTTTAATCAACATTTGATCCAAGGAGTGTCAAGTATCGAACTCCGCTTTTTAGTCGTAGGGCACAGTTAAACAGGCTTGTAACGTGAATGAAGACAGAGATCAAGGTGGGGCAGTAATGGTTTGATATAAAGAACAGTCAACAAATGAATGTTTGCTTGTTAGTTTGATAGGAGAATACGCTTTCAGACCATGGGAGTTATAGTATTAAAGGAGCTTTATCACAGCCTGTGCATCTTGAAATATTTACCAGCATTTGCTTTGACTCTCCTGTAATCCTGAACATTAATGTCGTTTCCTTCATCAAAACTTCCGTTACGTTCGTCCATCCTCACCAACTATCTGTTTGGGTGGATTTTTGATAAAAGGCCATCACCAAAAGTCCTTTATGTCGCCGATAAATGAAAAATTTCAACGACCCATGAACTATTAAAAGTAGTGTGGCACCGTTCCTTAACCCTCTGACTCCCGTGAGTGACCAAGTCAGAATTTCTCCCTACTATATCTATACAATATCATGTAGACAAGTGATGAGAATTAAGAAAAATGATCAATTATGGGATTACTAGTTGATCCCATTTCAAATTCTCCAAACTAACACAATGAGAATCGTTTGGCAGATAGCAAGGAGAATTATTAATGAGATCATGGGGGTCAAAGGATTAACTGTCACACTCCAGCTTGAAAAGGTTAGGTAGTGGGATACCTTACCTCTAAAAGCCATCGAGGAAGGAACTCAGTCAAAGGAGTATTCAAGGAAATTCTAACATCCATAGTAGTATAGTATACTGTTCGTTGTTGATAGACAAAAGTGGAGTTAACATCTCTTAAAAGGGGATTTCCAGTGGATCTTCTCGCGGCTTTTCCACGCGTGTTCGTAAATTTGAGAATTATTTTCATTACTAAACAAAACTCTTCCTGTATGCAGCTGATGGAGGTGGCTTAGACTGCCTTTGCTATGAACAACTATGGAGCACAGAGGGCACTGTGAGACTTCGCGAAATGAAATGACCAGCCGGTTGTAGAAGGACTTGAAATATTGCGAGCAAGCTCTCATTAAGACGCCACACGAGCGCTGAAGCGTGCGCATTCCTAACGGGAAAGAGATGTAAGCACGCGAGATTTTCACGAGGATTCTGGCAGGAAAGTCAGTGTCAATTCCCTCTGAGATCTCTCGCTGTCTCGAATCGCGTGGGTCTTCACCGTTCGTATTGCAGCGGTAATCAGATCCTGTTCGAAGGTAAAATTAGCTTTTGGAAGAGAGCATTCTAGGATCTCCAAGATCTGCAATTTGACGTACCCCGCTGAGAATGAAAAAATGATCAACAGCCTCACATCTCCGTAGGAACCACACTGTTTCCGCCAAAAAGGCCGGTCAAATTATCATAAATCAGGAACAAACACGTCTGCCAAATGGTTTCTCGTTCAATATCGAATACCGTTACTGCAGTAACTGTTTCACTTGTGATCCCACCTGGCTTTGTAGGGCTCAAGGGATTTTACTGAATAGAGTCTGGTGTCAAAACATTATAATGACTTTTCCATCAGTTTCTACTCAGCAGGAGACAGATTATTGTTGTTTACGTATGAAAGGTAAGCATGCTGAGTGTAAGTAGCGCCGATTGTATATGTATATTTAAAGTTTGTAGTTACTCTTACAGACGATGGCCATCAACAGATATTTCGTAGCTCATCGTAATCTTTTCAAGTGTTTAGACCAAGCTCACTTAATGTATTGTTACTAAAGTAGGTCAAACGTAGGCAATTGATACAGAAGCATGTCTATCGATAGATGGATATTATCCGTGGCACTTTGTACGTTCCTTAACTTTATACCAGGTGAGTGAAAATCCTTGCCTCTTTTCTCCCCGTATAAACAGGCGTACTCGCTTGAGTAAATCTTTGTCAAAAAGCCATGTTAGAATTTGGAAATTAAAGGAGAAGATGACGCATACTTCACACCTATCGGTTTAAATCTATGAAGCCGGGATAATCTAGTCGCGTGTGTTTTCACAGGGATCAGTTTTCCCCTACGTTCCCCTGCACAACATTAAAAGTAAAAGTACAGATCAAAAAGTTTACAGAACATCGCTGGGAGAGGGATGGGAAGGGACTACACTGTGAAATTGCGCGTCCTTTTGATGACAGGTTTTTATTTTGGTGACAGTTGTAGCGTCCTCTATACTCTACTCTTTGAGTAGAAATGATGCACAACTGCCGCTCTAGGAAACTCGCGTGCGAATTTGACTGAAAATAACACAGGTTCAAATGTGGTTTCTCTGCTGTCTTGCAGAGGAGTCAAGTAGACACACAGTGTGATATAGTTCAACCGAAACAACCCTCTACTCGCATTTGTTTATTTTACGCAGTACTACTAGTCCAGGCCAATGTTGTTTCGTACTGCATAAAGAAAACAACGTACCCTAATGTGATCCTCCGGGGTAAAATGGAGGCAGGGACCTACACGCCTTGGGAACCGGGTGACTTAAGTCACATGACCGTTGATCGATGCACTGAACACTGCTGTAAAAGCCCGGATACAGATGTAGTGTTTCTACTGAACAGGTGAGACATCAGGTGTATAATCTATCATTTGTAAAACGAACGCATGGCGTGACTTTATTCGATTGATTTCAATATCGTTATTCGAGCTTTGATTGGCTAATTTCGTTTCCCCCTGTCGAGGCAGTTTTGAGCAATGAGGAATGTTAAGGTAAAAACTTGCCAACAACAAAATTTGCTGGTGTAGGTTACTCAAAAAGGACTGCTCGCTTTTTGTCTATTAGCAAGTTTTCCTTGCTAATACGTATACCGAAAAAGATTTCATCGGCTTTTGCACTTGATAATAGATTCTGGTTGTTTTTCCTCTGTCACTGAAAAGTGTAAATGAAATCATAACGATTCCATAACACTGGCCTAACATTTCGAAAATTGTCGTCATAAAATATTAGAACCTGCCATCTTGAATCTTGCTTGACATTCTGACTTCTGCTTGTCTCTTTTTTTCTTTTCCATCTCTTGGCGATTTGTTTGAACGGTTAGGAGCTAAATAAAAAGGCATTCTTGACTCACTTACTCCACCCAGAGCAACAGCTGTTTGTGGACCGCGCCCTGCATTTACCGCCATTTGGTGCGTGCAGTGCATTTAACTAAGTTGTTTTTTAAAATGGCAGCATACGAAGGGAAATTGTTTGGCACATTTGAAGACAATTTTCGAACGGTTAGGTATGATATTCATATATACGTTTTCGTTGCAGATATGAAAATCAAATGAAATCGGGAGTATACCTCTCTTAAAAAAGAAATTTTCAGGCGCAATGCGATCGATGTGTAAATTTGAGCTTGATAATATGTTTTCTCTTCAATAGCTATTGCTTCTGTGTGAAGTGCCATTCTCTGGAATCATGCGCTATGGTGAAAATCACTCCACCCTCGACGTACAGACCTGTGACTGTTACTGTATCGAAACGTAAGTACTTTGACCTCTGAACGTTACATGAGTTTCTTTTATATAAACTGGTAGGTAATGATAAACATTTTAAGCATTTTTTTCGTAAAGCATTTGTTAACATCACCGGGAACCCATTACCCAGGTAATAGGTACCTGTCAACACTTGGTCAAGGTTACCTTACAAAGTCTTTAAGTCTTTTTGGAGGAGAAAAAAGTTATTGTGCCTTTGGCTCCAACAAGAGATTATAAACTCTCGGTTCCAATGAACTATTCTGGGAAAACCAATGGCAGTCAGTTGACTTGAAACTGAAGTGGAATAGCAAGCTTCTATGTGTCTCACCCTGGTAGTTTTTTCTATACAAACTAAGCCACTGATTATAGTTAAAGCTTGATTTGACGTTATTCAATACTTTCTAGACTCTCTTTTTCAGGACACCAAACATGTAATTTCCGCACATCGATCTAGTTAAATGGTCTAGCCTAATAGGTGATTGAATAAAAAAAATTAATTGTTTGTAACTTCGTCTTTTCGTAGAAGTATTGCATTTTTCATCCTTACTCCTAAAGCAAACATCTTCGGCGAAAGAAAACAAAATTATAGCTCATTCTGGCTACATCTATCTCCGATAAAAAAATTTTGAAATCCTTTATCTGTTTAACTGCAAGGAAAACTCAAATTTTTTCTTTTCACGTGACAAGTGGTAATGGAAACATAAACTTGTCAGTCTGCTTCAAATAACTGCGATGTCCTATGGCATTTGAATAACTTTTTATATTTATTTCAATTTAAAAAATTAAAATAATTTTTTCCTAACTCTCATCCGGTTGCGGAATCTCCTTTAAAGTTAAAAACCTGGTGATAAATGTCTGGGATCTCGCTTACTTCTATTTTTTATTTTTTTATGGGAAGAAATCAAACGGAAATTGCAATGAACAACAAACTTCATCTGCGCCCCCAAAAAACTAAAGTATATTAATTTTTTCCTTATTAGTAACCATTACTCTCTTTAGGAATAATTTGTTTCATACAAATTGTCTGATAAGATAAAGCTCATAAACACTAGTTTCTAAAAAGTGTCGTTATCTTGCTTTTACGAATAATGGACGATAACTACTCTTTTCAGGCTTTTAGCGCCTAATTAAAGGCTAGAGTTCATAGGTACAATTGGGCCGTAAATATTTAAAATGTTGTTCCGATGTATCACTATGCAACATTCCAACTTTTTCCCATCAATTAACAATTCTTTTGTGCTGCCGTGAAATAAAGGGTCAAAGGCGGGTACCTGACTTAGTGTTAAGGAATACTTCACTTGAAGCGCTTTAATTTTACCAATAAATGCCCAAAATAAACGAAATTAATATTTCGAACCACTGACATCCATAACTTATGGGTTTTTCCTATTGGTCATAAAGAAAACTTAACGTAGGCGTCGAAAACTTGCGATAATATTTTCAAAATTCGCGGTTGCATATACGTTCAGACGAAACAATGTTTTGATACTAAAGGAGTGACCTTCACGGTGATTAATGATATTTTGTGTCGTCTTGAGTTTCCTCTACAGTAAATATTTTCTTTGGCCACCTAAGGGAGTTAAGTGAAGACTAAATCAAATAGGACGCCGGTTGTATAACTCTCTGACCCGTTCTAACATATAATTTATGCAAGGAAATTCAAAACATTTCAAAGCCACTGAATGCAGCGCACCGGGAGACGGTGTAAGTTCGCAAGCCTTAAATGGTGAGTTAAAAGAACTTTCCACAAATAATTTACAAATACTTCTACAAATTTTTACAAATAGTTACAGTCATTTTACTTATTTTCATATATTTGTATTTTAAAGCTCTCTTGTCTTCATAAAAAGTAGAAGATTTTAGGTTAAAACTGAGATGAGAGAAGATTTTTACTGTGGGTGATAATTCATTTCCCATCATATTATCACTGATTATGTCACAGAAACAAAACTTCAAGTAACCATATCTCCTTTGCCCAAAAATTCAACGTTCAGCAACTTTGCCGGTTTGCTGCATCAAAAATTAGTTATTGGTTATTATTTTTTTTTAGTTTAATTAGGGAAATTATCAAAATCCATTGGATACATTCTTCATCAAGCCGAGAATTTTCATTGATTGGCTGTGAGAAGTATACACCCATTGAATGAAGATAAAGCCCTCCGGTCGTTGGTACTGGTTATTTTTCTCATTGTTTGTCTTTACGATTGTTTGTCTTTTGAAGTGCTGGCTTCTGCAAGTGGTCTTGCAAATCTTTCGAAAACGTTGTTTACCTCATTCTCAATTTAATGTTAAACAAAAGTGAGCGACTTAAAAAATACGTGCAAAAGCTGACCGTCGCTATGATGAAGTTAAAAATGAATTTTGTGAAAATGAATTTAAAGTAGTTCAGATTGAATTTTTCTTTACTCAGTGAAAAATTACGATTGTTCTTTAACAAAGGGAAAAGGGAAATACAAAAGAACCTAGTTTGGATCATTTTAACCTAAATCTTATTGGAAGAAAATCATATTCTTCTTCGTTAGTTAATGATTTGGTAACGGAGAAGAATATGATTTTCTTCCGATAAGATTTCTCCATGTCGCTACCAGGGTACTGAAGAGGAGAGGCTTGGGTTCGTTCATTCGTTTGTTTGAACATCTCACACGATGATCTTATTTTTTCGATTAAACAGGAAACAACAATGACAACAAGAATATAACTAGTGATAATGTAAACAACATTAAGTCATAGATGACAATGAATGATTGAGACATTGATATGGTAGAATATATATCAAATCGTAAGAAACTGCACTTTGGAGCTTTTTCGTCTATTTCATCGCTTTATGCATGCCTTTCAAAGTGTTACCTTTAAATCTGATCAGACACACCATTATGAAAACAATTAACGAGTGTATGACGTTATGAAACATGGATGAATTTTCACATTCCAAGGGCTAATTTACGCAGATGTAAACAATACGGAATAAATGGTTCAAATGTTTTAGTTTCTTGTGATGCAAGTTTGCGTGATTATTTCATCCTTCGTGTTATCTTAACGTCCTCCCCTAGTACAACTTCCTTATCACTCGTTAGTAGATTTTTCTCCCTGATGGCTGCCGGTGTGGTCCTAATTTAGTAATTGTACTAAAAATTAAACTATGAATTTACCAGGTGTGAATACACAGCTTGGGAGACAGAAACACCACTAATTTACCATATTTATCGCTAACCATTCTCTCAAAAATCGCTTGGAAAGCTCGGGAAAACATCGCCACGCTTGCAAACACTCTACCCAAGCACCTGTTATTTGACAAAATCTCGTCTGTATTCAGAAATGTGTGGATTGTGGGCAAGCTGTTAATTGAAAAGATCACAAAAGAGCGTTATAGATAAGGGTTGCTTCCTATGTAGCTAGCCGTCTGGGAAGCCTATTATTTCTTTGACATAAAGCGCACTGCAGGCACATCTGTTATTTGTTGTTTCCTAAGATGCTACCTTCCTTCTCAGACGTTGTTAATTATAAAGCGATTACACCTGGAGGATAAAACCACTTTGAGTTCATTCATTTAGTTATTCTCGAAGGTGTGCATTCCTAAATTCTTTTGTGTTTTTCGGCGCTACAAAACCTCCATTGTTCAAGTCGATTTCATCTTTGTTTTTAGTGTCATAAGAACACTCCCTCTCTGCTCGTAAATAATAGTTATTATTTTGAAGATCTCTGTGCTTTAAGAAAGCCTGATATCTATCTTCATAGAGATAAGAACGTCTTATTCGCTCCACTTACGCCTGTAATAAATCATTTACGTTGTTTATGGCGATTTGATTTCAGTGACGCCAACACTTCTCGGTAATCTTTCCAATAGCTGAATCTTACTTTTCCGCCTCTATTATCTGAAAACTTGTGTTGTTTTCCCAGGCATTTCTAAGCTTCCTTCAACTACGCAACCTCTTTCGGCTACCAGGAGTTTCACGAGGCGGACCCAATCTACAGAATATAGTACCCAAGTGAGTGGTAGTAATAATTGTTTACATATTTTTTAGAAAAGGTTATTGCTAGAGATAATTTAATGGACTGAATTAGACGAACAGTTTGATGAACCCATCTTTTAGAGCAACTGTCTTTCTCAAAAATATTTTCATGACGTATTTTGTAACTGAACCTAATCCTCTTAGCCTGCATTCATCTTTCAATATCAAAGATCTTTAAAAGAGATTTTTTTAAGAATTTTCTGGTACACAGAAGAATTGAATAAACTTACAATGCCTTCGCACCTGTTCGTGTAAAACTGAAGTCGTTTCTTATAGTCATGAATCAAAACCTGAAGACAGCAGATCGCCAACGATAAAAACTCTTAAACTGACGTAATTTTGGAAGACTGTAACTTTCTCTTTGAACTCTGATGTCTTCTATCAAGTTGTCTGAAGAACGTAAAGAAAAAGGTAACAAAAAACGGTTACAGTCGCGTGCTCGTGCTTGCGTTCGAATATTATATTTTTGGTGACCTTACCGAGAGGCATCATAGCTGGAGCACATTATGAAAATAAATCGTACACTAAATAGAGGAGGACTCCTGGCTGGAGTATATTTGAAAGTAAACGATTTATTATATAAAGCATACGGGTTTACACTCGACAAGGAACAGTTGTATACGGTTGTAATAGGTGTATGAAGACTATTGAAAAACTCCCATACTCGGTCCATGTACCTCATAAGCCCCAAGATGCTGAATATATTGATATTGTAACTAATCTGCCTCAATACAACTGTTTTTCCTGTTCAATCTCAACCTTTAGTATACATCAAAAGCACATAACCAAGGTCATAAGCTTTTGTATCCATTTAATGTTTACCTCAGTGAAACACTCTTAATTGATACGCTAAGAACTTTCTACGCATGCCAAACTGTAAATATTTCTCTTTTGAAATAATAGCGGTTTTACTGAAAACCCCTTTATTGGCAAATTGTTTCTTATTTTGTCGGTTTTAGGGAAGAACTGAACGAAAAGAAAAACAGTGCTGTCGCATGTTTGATTTTGAACATAAAAAACATAAACTACGGATTACCACCGTTGCATGTAAACCATATTAACTATTGTTATCAACTATTATTATCAATCGCTCTGACGAAGGGCTAACGCTCGAAACGTCAGCTTTTTTACTCTTTACGGTGGCTAATTTACGTTTTCAACCCAGTTGTTAACACTAAATTACCTGCTATACTCTCCCACCGACGCAGCACCACAGTTTCTTTAGAAACTTACCCCTTCATTCATTAACTATTGTGGGCTTAATTCCCCATCGATGTTTTTCCTTTTCATGGTGTGACATTGGTTTACCGCATCATCTATTTCACCTTGTCATTTTGCACCAAATGTCACATAAACTTGCAGGGGTGCTAGTTTTTCACTCTCTTTTCCTGGTTTTGGATGAATTTGTTTTCAATTGAGGCTTTTCGCTTTGACGGTAATTTCAATTTGACTTTTTCCTTTTGCCTTCAATGTGCTTCTTGACTCAGTGCAGTATTATTTAGTATGGGCTTTCCTTCACTCCAGTCAGTTGGGATGAAATGAATAATTGTTTAGCTGTTTTTCTTTTCTCGGATCTATCGCAAAATCCTGTGACTTTCCACGTGTTCCAAATTCAATTAATGCCATCCTTCCCTTGTCCCCGAAAAAGGAAAATTATACAAAAAGATGTTTTTCGTCATATCACGAGCGTGGGATAAAGAAAAATTCTGAGTTCCCTTGAGGAATCGAACCTCAGTCCTTTGGATTCCGCGCTCCGATGCTCTACCACTGAGCCACAGAGGCTCTACAGTGAGCGAGATCTATTACGGTCTATTTCATATGACACCCGTCCTGCATACTGCTAGGATCAGCAATGGCGATAGCGTCATGTTTGTAAACAGAGTAAGAGAGACGATAGGTTTTTTGAGCTCGATAAAGAAATAGAGAAAGATGTTTGTTCGTCTTGTCACGAGCGTGGGACACTTATTCTATTTACAAGGAAAATTTTTATTATCAGTTCAACATTGTGTGATCTATTCAATCTGGCAATTAGGGTCTTTCATTCTTCTCTTAGCCAACCACCGTCAAACTCGAACAAAAAGAAACAAAAGGAACTAAAAGACCCCAAGATGCCAAAACAGATCCCACCAAGAAGACGAGTGGTAGTGGATTCAGACGAGGAAATGGGACCGAAATCAGCCAGGAATGGAGACAGTCAAGCAGTTCGTGTAAGCCTCTCTCTATCTCTCTCTCTTTCTTCTCGGATTCTTACTGATATAATTGCACTATTTTCCACTTCAGGCCTAGGGGTAAACATAAATTGAGCACTCTATCCGACTCTCAGTTTTCTGACTGGGACCTCGATCTGACTGTCGGGTGTAAATACACAATGTTGTTTGCAGAGTTCATTGTATCCTATTTTCACAGATAATATGGGACCGTTTGTAGATTAGGCAGGAACGATACCTTTTGAAGAAAAAAAGAAACGGTTCTTTAAATTGATGTACTACAAATGGCACGTCTGACCAGTTTGATTGTTTGAAAAGTTTTTACCATATTTGAACGGTTTCTCGAAATTGCGCTCAAGAAAACCTTGTCAACATTCTCCACTCGCGGGGTTGAGAGAAAGAAAAGAGGAGAATGTACTTGGTTTTTGCGATTAAGCAATTTTCAGTTAAATGTTGAAAAACCAAAGCCAAAGCTATCACAGGGACCAATCTGAAAAGAGATTTACAACATCACCAGCCAACGAGGACTCGTAGTGGAAGCGCATGACTGAGTCGAATGGCCGAGTCGCGATTATTTTTAGTTTTGCATCTACTTGCTTGAGAGGATGACGTAACTTTTCTGGACTAGTCACAGACAAAGTTGGGTAAAACCAAAACAATCCAGGTTTTGATTAGACACCACTCAAAATTGCTCCATGTAAGAAAAAGTTACTTCCTCCATTGTTAGATAAATTACAATATGCAAACTTGCATAACTGATCCATCTCTTTTCAAAGTATTGAAAGGAAATGAGCTAACTTTTACATGATAAAAAAATCTTTCATTGTGACTTGGATAATTTAACTAATTATATAATTCTTCCTTCTTTTCATTACTCTTGGGAACGCACGTATCTTTAACTCTGACATTCAGTTTGCTTCTCTGTTTACAGAAACTATTTCGTTTCTTTTCACGGAAGCATAATCCACAAACAGCTCTTGTTATTCGCTACGCTATCTGCTTTTTTCTCGGTGGACTTGTTGGACTGATTCCTTACTTAGTTTTCGTGATTGAGCTCTGTAAAGGTTTGTCTGTTTCTTTTATTCTTTTTCTTTTTTTTCCTTCTAATTCTCTTGGTCTTCGTTCCTCGTTTCTTCCTTTACATTACCCGCTTTCTTTCCACTCTTCATCGTTGATTGATTGATCCATTTATGTATTCTTTAAGCTGTCCTTTCGTTCATTCGTGTTTTCATTTCTCCCATCTATTCTTCCTTTGTTCCTTATTTCTTATTCACCCATTCACTTAACCATTTTCTCATCCGTAACCTCCGACCTTATCTGTCAGCGTGTTCCTTTTTTTTTTCTATCAGAAGAAGTTTTTTCGGTCCGAGCAAATTATTCATAGAAAGGTACTAATCTTGACTAAAATCGAAAGTTTACAGATTAACATTTGATTGTAACGCTCAATATCCACAGCTAACTTAGAAATGAGAAATCCCCATCTTCCTTCAATAAATGGATATTCTAAACACAAAGATGTACCCAAAAATGAAGCTCTCACCTCTTTCAGTGAAATTAGTAGTGCTCCTGTCATCACTACAGCTTACGTTGGTAAGTGTCCAAAAGTATTAGCCGACGTAGTTTTGCTCCATAAATGCTTCAGTCTAGATAGCTGGGCGAAAGCACAGAAAATGGCTTGAACCTAGGAGTAATAGTTGAATCATCTCGGGATTTCTCTGACTTTTTCAATTCTCCTTCGCTTATTTTGCGAGACGGCAGTTGTTCTTAAGTCTTCCTTTGAAATTTTGCGCGGGAAATTGGCGCGCGGGAGACCAGAATCGATCCCCTCGCGCATGCCCTTTGTTTGACCGCTGAGTTGGACTGTTGACGTTTCGCGAACCTGACCGTAAGCCATGTCTCACTTGACTCTGATGATGACTTCCGCTAAGGTTGTCGAAATACCAGTCACTTCTACAGACACATTCCATTCAGGAAAATCCTCATTAGGACGGTCAGAATACACGCTCAGTTGTGATAAAGTAATAGATAATACACAATTCTGTGAAATTAAGAAAGACCGTCTCAACATTTTCTTTGCTGATCTGTTCAGTACTGCATATGATGACATTTACTTTTAAACGGGTAAATCGACATCTAATAGTGCAGAATTAAATTAATCGCATCTATTTGCTTACATGATAATAAAATTTATTTCAAGAGATATAAAAAGAGTACTAAACAGTAAACATAAAAAAAGAGAATTGCTTCTAATATTTTATCCCTTAAGGATGAATCGCGACAGTTTATCTGCCTGTTTTATCCGACACTGAGCTAGGTCACAAAAAAAGAGTGGGTGTTCCCTTAAATACAGCTACTACCGTGACTCACTCATAATCAGTGAAACAGAAACCATAAGTTGATTCCCTCTAAATCACAGCTAATATGTGCATGACTATCAGAAAAGGGATTATTACGCTATTAATTGACTTCTTGCGCTATCCCTTTTTTCATTGCAGATGTAAACTTCACCACACTAAGTAGTAACTCAACTGGTATCACGACACCCCGACCCACAAGAGTAGTGACAACAGAGAAAAAGGGTGGGTATTCAGTCATACGTTTCAACAGAATTTCCCCCCAAAAATAACGAAAAAGTATGGACATGGGTGAAGTAGCAAGGGGAGGGTGAGAGGCGGGGTAGACACCTCCGAATGAAAATTTGGAGGGGATAGTCCACCCCCCCTTTCAGTTTCGTGGTTCAGTGTAGAAAACATCACCAGTGCAACGTGAAATTGTCCTGGGAAAATATTCAGTGGCATCATGCATAGTTAAATAGTATGTTGTGGTACTTTTTTGAACAACTCAAGCCTGCTCATGAATTTCTACAATTAGGTAACAGATCCCAAAGATGTTTTCTTGTCGTGGCCAATGAACCATCCTTAAGACGTTTTGAGACACCTGAATAGGCCTAGGGGCATGGAATTGGCTAGGCGTGCAATAGTGAGATTCCCTAACCACCCCCCCCCCCCCCCCCCCCCCCCCCCTCAGCCTTCCCCGCTCTCACTCGCCACAAACATTTTTTTATAAAAAAAGGTCCGCCACCTCCAACAAAAGTCACCCTAAATTATATAAGAGTTACTAAGTCTATACTCGAGGCCAAGAGACCCAAGCTGACCATGAGCACATTTCCTCTTGTTCGGGGTAAGGTTTATTTGGTCCTTACCCATCATGAAGAATATTATTTGTATACATCCTTTTGTGAGAAAAGACATTGAAAGAATAAGCCGTTCTTTTCACCGTTCGATGACTTAGCATTAGTATAGCAGTGAAACTGCAGTGATACTGCGAAACGTTTTCGCGTACAAATGGTGATTTGAAAATTTTCTCCCAGCTGAAGGGACAGGTAATGACGACATCTCTCTCCAGTGTTCTGGGACCATAACGGTCATTCGCGTTCGAGCGTTAGGGATCCCTGGGGATACTTCTACCGTGGACGATTTCAACAAGCACTGCCAAGCGAATCTTGGACAAGTGGATGGGACAAATGTATGCATTGTGAGCCTCAAACGGGTGTATAAATCCAGATATCCACCTTTCATAAAGACTGTGGTCACTTATACTTGTTCATACACTGAGGAAATCAGTTAGCGATAGTCGTGAGAGAACAGGGTAGAGGCTTTAAATACAACCATATGATTCTCACGTGATGAGGAGCAATCCCCAGAGGATTCCTAATTGCCTCCCCCTCCCCACCACCGCCAATTCTAAGAGAACAATAGAAATAGCTAATATGCGTAAAAGTGGTACTTTTTGTACGGTTAACGAAAACTGATAGATTACTCTCGGTTATTTGGTTGTCTAAAGGGCGGAGCCCACAGAGAGGAAAAATGATAAACTTAATTTGATATACTGATGGACGTAAATCCACTGGAATGCTGAGAATATGATTTCCTTCCTGATCGATGGTATACAAATACAACAGAAAAGTTGTAAAAAGGAAACGTTGATATCAGATGCAGATACTGACGGTGGATTTTAAATGAAGACAAAAGTAATGTATTATAAAAATACGTAAGGAGGAACGGCATACCTGTCATGTTACGGTCAGATTTTGCTATATTTTGAAAGGCACTTATTATGTTCATAATCACTTGCATTTGCTTTAGCAAATTGACAAAAGGACTATTTTACGCTTCCTTGATCACAATAGCTTTCTTTTTTTTAATCAAACGAGGCTAAGATATACCTAGATATACTCAGAAGCTGCTCGGCAGGGTTGATTTATTGTTACCAGCCCCACGTTAGTTAAGCATGATTGAATTAAACGAAAAAGAAAAAAAGAAAATTGCTTTGGTCGCTCATCTGATCAGAAGACACAAATCATGCTTCATGATCGTTTTTCATGTCGAAGTAAGTTACACTGATACCCATTTCTGGTGAAGTGTTGTAATATTCATCGAGTCTACTAGTTAAGTAGATGATTCTCATCATACGACTAAATAAAGTAGTACATGTAGCATCAAACTTATCAAATGGCTACGCTCTTTTTATTGCACTTTAGACGGCTCGTCAACATTTGGCGAATAATTTTCTAATATTTTGGTTTTGAGTTTCAAAGGACTCCAAAACAATAGGTCAAAAGATTTCTACAAATTTTTTATCAATCCTTTCACTCCAAAGATCTATCAGCAATTCTCCTTACTGTCTGTCATACAATTCTTATTACGTTTTTTCTGAGAACTTGATATTTGATTAACTAATAATCCCCTTATTGATATTTCAAGTTTAACTCTCCTCACTTGTCTGCTTGATATTGGGTTAGTATTATAAGGAGAAATTCTGTCTTGGTCACTCATGGGAGCTAAATAGTTATGAAATAAGTCATGGTCGCTGATTTTTCCTTTCACAAAGAAAAAATTTGGATGGGCCCTTATACCCAAAGAACTGAGGATTTGAACAAACCAGTCTTCATAGGTTCATATGCCCTAGGAGGTTGGCCTCTGAAGGAGGGTGGGATTTTGAAGCTTTGAATTGACTGATGTATTACTAAGTAACTGGTTTGTTATGAAAAAACACAAAGACTCTAGAGAGGCCTTTAATAATCTTTTATTACTTTAGCTGGCATTCTGTGCTACTTGTGTTTTCCCTGGTTCTTCGGGATGGCAATAAATATAGCAAAATATCTAACAGGAAATACATATTGAGAGTACACAAAAAATGTAAAAATAGTCCGCTTTAGTGAAATTATAATACTCTGTTCTACATAAATTCTGTGATTAAGTTATAAATACACAACAAGATGCCTTTTCATTACTAACAGCAATAAGCTTTTGACCCATGAACAATGACGTAATTAAGAATATTTGTTCTGAAAAATAAAGTCAAATAAACATGTATATTACATGGTAATAGCACGACCCATTTAAAATTAAAGTTATAAAATAAACAATGGTGTGCATGTGCATCTTTTGATTTGCTTAAAATCCAAATACTAACAATAATTCCTTGTGATCCTAATGAAGTAGGATTTTCAATAGATGGTGCAGCTAATACAAAACTTGAAAATTTTTAAAGAGCTTAATGTAGTGGAAAGAACCCTCCAGGGCTGATATTCAGGGTGGCAGACGAAGGAAACCTTCTGGCTGTCACATCAATTAATGCCGGCTAATTGAATTATAATCAAAGATACAAACACATGTGTCCCAACCTCCCTAAAAGCGCAGGCCATGCTTGCTTCCAAAGCATAATTCACTTCAGCCACCCAAATAGTCAGACTGTACATGCCTTACATTTCTTAAAGACAACCCCGGATACTTGCCTTTCCTGTTTCTCATAAAAACTTTCCTAGTTTCACAAATTGCTAAATATATTTACTGCCCTCCAATAAAAAATAAAGCAACACTCTTTTAAACAACATAATAAAATTTGAATATTCATTTATATTAATATCTATGTGATACAGTGTACATGCACATTCCTTGTGACAAGTTTAATTAAAATTTATTATTACTTAATTAAATAACTAATCAATTAAGATTAAATGCTGTGTTTTGAATTACCTTAAAACTGTATCTCATGCAAACCTCTAAGTTGACTACATGTCCAGTTTCTCCGATCAAATCTTAGATGAATAACAACTATGTGATTAGCAAGGGTTTCAATAACTTTTCCCATAAGTAGCTGCCAATGTTTAAATAGGCGGCTGTGCTGTTAGGAGAAACCCAAACATAACAGTTAGCTCGCAGGCTAAACAAACAGCGGTGACAGGTTGCACAGGCAGCAGTAGACTGCTGGTAACTGCCTTTCATCAAAACCCCTGGATCAGTGCAGGTACACTAGCAGATTTAGTACTTAATCATAACATTTTCCTATTTTACCATATGGCAATATAACTACTAGTTCTTTTGGATACACTAAAACAAATTCATTTAATCATGACTTCCTTAACCCTTTAACTCCCAAGATCTCATTGGTTATTCTCCTTACTGTCTTCCATACAGTTCTTGTGATGTTAGTTGGGAGAATTTAGTATAAGATCAACTTATACTCCCCTAATTGATATTGTTCTTTATTCTCATCACTCGTCTACTTGATATTGTATTGATATTGTATGGAGAAATTCCGTCTTGGTCACTCATGGGAGTTAAAGGGTTAACTAAACTTAACATTTACAATACTGGAGCAATGAAGGGAACAAAAATTAGCACAGAAAAACAATGAAAAAAAAACAATTTTCCCTCCTTTATAAATCTTTCATCACCAATTCTTGAATCTTCTTAAATAATTTCAATAAAATATAAAGCAGCACTAATGCTGTTTCTTTTTTTTTTTTTTTTTTTTTTTTTTTTCAATTATCAAGAAAAAGCTGGAAATAAGACACGTATCCTTCTCACTAAGAACCATTTCCCTCCCAAGCTCTAAAAATCAATTCTCCTCACTAACTGCCACACATTTCTTATAATTACAGATCTGAGAATTTGGTGAGAAATAATATGATATCCCTCATCACCTTTCTGCTTCTAAATATATGGATATTGTAGGGAGAAAGTAATACTTGATCAATCCTGGGAGTGAGATGGCTGATGACTCTTAATTTTGTCTATTTGTTATTGCAAAATGACCAAAAGATTTCTCAAAATTTATAATTGCTATTTTCATACTTTGAGGATAATAACTTAATATATATATAATCGAAATGAAATCTCTAAAATTGGTTAAAAAGCGTAAGACTGGCTCAATAAATGTCTGGTAGATATCTAATGCATTAAAAATAATCTTTTAACAGCACTCAGAGAAAAATATTGAATACAACAATATATCTTTATGATCGTGACTTTGGTATGCTGATATTTTCACTGTTGTCACTTCTTTGATACCTACCATTAATTTCTGAGGTATTATTCTGTGAGAAAACGTTATCGTGAGATCTTCCACTGTCCTCAGTGGCATCATTTTGTGAAAAGATTCTGTCGTCTTCCTTAATTCCATGTCTGGTCACCATATGTTTCTTTAAGTTATGACCAATAATAAACTTGCTTCCACATAACTGGCACTGAAATGGCCGTTCTCCTGTGTGGCATCGAACATGAGCCTTAAGCACATTGGAACGAGCAAAGGTTTTTCCACAGTAGACACACTTAAAAGGCTTGACCTTTTGGTGAATCGCTAGATGCTGGTTTAGATTTCCACTTAAGTTGAAGCCCCAGCCGCAGATTTTACAGATGTAGGGTCGGTCTCCAGTGTGGGAACGTTTGTGACGAAGCACAGAGTTTGCAGAGTCAAACTGCTTATGGCAGATATCACAGCTGTACTCCTTCATATCCAGGTAAGGTCCACCCTGGGGGTGTGTTGCAGCACTCTCTGTGTGGTCCTCCTGATCAGGAGAAGCACCCATAACATCAACAACTCTTGGCAGAGATGGACCTGAATGAACTGGTGCTGAAAGGCCATCTTGAGAACTTGTTGGCAAGACTTGTTGGCTAAGGGCATAATTCTGCACAGAAGGACCCATGGTGCTGTTTTCTCTTTCAGGGCTACTACCCAAATGTGTTTGACTTCTCTCCTCAGAAGTATTTGGCTCTGGTGAGTGGCCATTTGACATGGAAAGAACTTCACTGGGTTCTGTCTTAACTTGGATTGTGTTTGGTAAGACTACTATTGCTGTTTTTGGAAGAAAGGTTTGTGCCTCATGAATATCTAAGTGAGAACCTTGTTGACTGTTTCTATGTGAGCTCAGCCCTCGGCCACCATAGTTTTGAAGAGGACTGTTCTCTGAACTAACAAAGTTTGAGTCCGAGTCATTCTCTCCACCACTAGTTTCCCTTGAGTCACTGTGGATGTCAATAACAGCTGGATGGTCATCACTAATGGCAGGACTTGACCCATTTGTAGAAGAGCTTTCAAGATTTGGAAAATTGGCAAAGCCTGCTGAATCTTCTGCTGAAAATGCTGTTACAGTATCACTGCTATAGATGTCTCTATGATGGTTTTCTGTTTCCATTTCTTCCCCTGTTCCTTGCAAGGAAGGTCGATAGTTTCCATTTTCGGTGCTGTCACACAGTCCTGGGGAATCAACAGCTTCAGGATGACTTGCAGACTCATTTGCAACTGCATCAAAACCCTTTTTCTCGGACAGTAAATTTGTAGAATAAATTACTTCTCCATGCATGGCCTTCCTATGAAGGACAGGATTAGGACTTGATGTTGGAGACACTTTGCGTTGGAAAACCGATTTTCGAGCTGTCTTCTTGCGACGTGAAACTGAAAGAATGCTTGAGCGAGAGGGGAAATAGGTACCATCTCTTCTTGCCAAAAGTAAAGAGCTTCTATTGTTTTCTCTGTGATTTGCAGAATTTCTAGTGTCAGATTCAGGTGAGATTGCAAGAGTTAAAGGTGTTACAAGGCTAGCAGGTTGCCCAGGCTGTGTTATGACTGATGATGTTCCTTGAGGGGGATTGAATGGCAGATTTAACGAGTGTGGTAACCTTGCCATAGTGGAACTGTTCCCCTCAGAAAACTGTCTAGTATTTGCGTCTTCCTTGGAAACTGGTTGCACAGGATTTCCTGGTTCTGGATAAAAAACATGAACAATTTCTTTTTAAAACGAAGCTGTTGAATCCAAATTAAATCTTGGCCATAGAAAGTTGAGTTTGAATCCCCTCAACAGAAACTTAATGTATCACAAGTCTCCAGTACTGCATGTTTTGGACAACTGTGTTAGGATAAGAAGCTTAACTTTTTGGTCTGTTACAGAGTCAAACACAGAATTTGCTAGCTTATTTACTCTTTAACTCCCATGATCCAATTGTTAATCCCCCCCTCTTGATGCTACACATTTCCTGGTAAATACGTAACAAGGATTAAGAGTTAGATCAAGATAACAACTTCTACAAGATAAGTTTCAGTATTCTCAGCATCTGTTTGCTGGATAATGACTGGATATTCTAGGGAGAAGTTACATGTTGTACACCTCAGTGAGTTAACCCTTTACATCCTAACATCAGTATGCATATACTCCATACTGTTTTCTATACATTTCCTAAGGTGTTGACAAGGAGAATTTGTTCATCAATCAAGTGGATATTTAGTTGGTGATCATTTCCTTTATTCTCATGACCTTACTGTGTGATGCAGGGGTTATACTGTTGGGAGAAATTAGATGTTAGTCACTCTCAGCAGTTAAAGGGTTGAATGGTCCAAACAGATTTTACTGTAATTTTGCTTTTAAGAAGGAAAATTACTTGGAATTTGTATTTTTTTGCAAAAATATTTGTTATCATTTCTGTTCAATCAAGCACATTTAACCTTTCTTCAACATTCTATTCACCCACAAGCCTGCCAAAATATTTAATTTTGGCACAGTAATTAAGTTGAGATGATAGACAATGGAGAAGTCTATAATGACCATGCAGAACGCAAAAAGAATATAAAATATAATCATCTACACAGTAAGGGGTCATTTTCTCTCAAGAATTAAATGTTGCATGCTCTCCTGCAAATGGAATCTAAACAAAGATGTTCAATTTCAGCATGATTGACACTTTGTAGTTATCAAATGTTTTTCTTGGTGTTTTCAAATGCATACACAATTACATAAGTGCATTCATGCAGATGTCCACAATAATATTTAATTTTGCACAGTAATTGTGCTGAGGAGATAGGAAGGTGTTCGATTTTAACATGATTGACACTATGTGGTCACTAAGTATTTTGGCATTTTCAAATGCAAACGCAATAACCAAATTCAAAATTTCCTGAAGAAAAATTTGTCAAGACTTTTTTGCATTTAGTCACCACCCAATTTAAATGTTGTAATTGTACATGCATTTGAAAACACCCAAATTTTTTACATGTAATCACCACAAAGTGCCAATAATGTTTAAATCAAATACATTCCTTCGGGTGCTTTTTGTTGAAAAGCATAAGTTTATATGCAAAATATAATTGTTGAGAGAAAAATTGATGATCTTGTGCTGTATTATCGTTTACATTCAATTTTCATCAAACTTGTGTGTACTGCTCTTAATGTTGCTCTTTTTCAATTCCAATTTGTGTCACTCAAATTTGTCTTATCTTCGTCCACAACCAGCTTAAATGATTTAACTAGAAAAACTAAACTAAAACTAAATGTTTGATTACATTTACCATGAGTGATTATTTCATATTTTGCTTCTTCCAGAGGAGATTGATCTAATGTTAATACACAGGGCAGTGGATCATTTGTATCAGGCTTCAGTGCAATCACTGTTCCTTTATTGCTGGGATCTGCTTGGTAAAGTAGTTTAATGACACTCAAGGTTGTTCCACGTTCAACTCTAAGGATTGGTTGGCCATTCTTGAAAAGTAAAACCTACAAGCAAAAGAAATATTGTTTCAAATAAGTACAAGTTGTGCTTTGTAAAGATCTTAAATTGTTACTCACAATAATTCTATCATCTGTGATGTCATTTTACCAAATCTGGTTGAAAAAAAACACAAAGTATTGGATTGTAATTCAAAACAGTGTCCCAGGTAAGTGGTTTACAACAGAGAACACACAGACAGAGAAACAGGGATTACAGTAAGTTTTAAAGTACACAGCAAAAACTACAAAGTAGGCAGAAGCTCTATCTTCAGTCTTATGTTATTAGTTTCAAAGAAAAAAGGCAGTAATTTTGCTGGATTTTGTTGAAACTCTTTATGATGGTAGAAACCACTGGAATGAAAGGGAAAATGATTTAAAACATAGTGCTTTCAATAAAATGGGTAGTTCAGAATAGCAGGTGGATAGTTTAAAGGCCTAGAGAGCCCTTGTTCTTAAAGAGATGCAGGCTTCTTTAGAAAATTCCCTGAAAATCTTGACTCTTGCAGTTGCATTTTCCAGCATTTTGAGGTCTATTCTGACTGATGTTCCTTTGTTGTTCCACAAAGTCAACTAATTTGAAGAGAATTGTGTGAAAGTTAGGAGTACAATTACATTTGTGATAGGGCTTCAAGCAGTTGGTCAATATGGCACAAACACATAGATCCACCCACCCCTTGCCCTCTATTTAAAATTCTAAAAACTAGTTCTCAGCATGCCGATAAGATTTAACTAGTGAAATGTTGGCAATTCACTGATTTTCACTCTGGATTACATCACTCGCATGTACCGCAATTGAACAGATTGAGGCGTAGGTTGCATGAAATATGAGTGCAAGTTCTGCTCACTGAATATATTTTGCACCACAATGTGCAAAATATTTTCTTAGTCAAACCATCATATATAGTAATTTCATATTTCACATCAACATTTTTTTGGTAGAAAAATAGGACAAAAGGGTGTATACCACTAGTCAAAACAAAATCCCATAGTTTGCAGACAATCGTGCTTCAACGCATGCAATTCAAATTTGGTAAACATCATTTTCCATTGGGAATACTAACTAAAAAAAAAAAAGGTGAACTACATTGTATATTTCATCATAATCACCAAAATTAACTTCATCATCAAAGTAAGCATGTCTAATCTATTCTATTGTGACAGGTAATTATCCCTCTACTTTTGCGACAAAGAGCTTAGATCCACCCTAGATAAGAAATAAGCTACGAATGTCTTTGATTTTTGAAACAGCCCAAAAAAACAACATGATGATGTAATGACTAAAGTATAATATATCAGAACAATCTTCTGTACATCATTTGATGTTGAATTCAACAATTAACAACACTTTAGAGGGCACACCTGTAAATTTTTCCAATAGAAACCCTGACAATACTTATAAATTCAATCAATACAAAAGTTCCAGAAATGAAAAATCAACGGCGGTTCAGAGTACACGTTTTAGCTCACAGGGTGAGACTGTATTTTAACCCAACCTAAATCACAATACCTGTGAAAAATATAGACTTATCATGAAAACTTAAATACGATTCAGTATTTTTAACACCAGTGACGTAGGATACATCATCAAAGCTCTCAGTATATATAAGAACTACATATTACGTTTACGAACAACATTTACATGCCCAAAACCTCATTGTCATACCATTAGTATGTTCATTGGTTCCCATTTATCAAAAAATCACTTGAGCAAAAATGGAAATAGGAATCAAGTAAGGTTCCATTTTCTTTGAACATTTCCCTTTCGTATTCTATACTTAAAACTCCTTTTTCGAAATGTTTGAGTAAAGTGAATATCTATAAATGAAACATCACCACACCACGCGCTCAAAACTGCAAAATTCTAGAGTGAATGATCTTCAGCAAATTTTCAAAACTCTAGTAAATTACAATAACATTCGATCATCAAACGAAAAAAAAATTCCCTTCATCTTAAGCAATTTCGTCTACAAAAAACAAGCCCCTACTTCCGAGAAAGAATTCAATAAAAAATGCGAACACGTTAAAATCGTTGACAATTGATTCACACATTCTTGTCAGTGAATGAAAACGTGACTCCTGTCACAACTCGAAAACTTAAATTCCATTTCCTTTCAATCAAAATCTCTTATCGTTGGTAAAGTCGTTTATCTCTTTCTTCTTGTAACAAAATGGAAAAAGTTTGTATTATTTACCTCATTTTGCCGGACTTGAATACGTGATAACTCGGACGCCATATTAGAATAAAAACTGAACAAAACATTTCCCAGAGATCTTTATTTTCTCGGTCTTCATGAATGACGTGACAAAATTTTTTCTCGGTGGAGGAGAGGTGAGCAACACGCATCGGCCTAAAAATGTCACGTAACTGTCCAAAGTACAATTTTTTTTTCTATACTATAAGATTTTATTAATATTTCGATAGTTTGGAAGTGATTATTTTATGTAATGCGGGTGCTTTAGGGTGAAATAAAAGGTAACCAGACTTATTTTCCCTAGGCCACCCCAGTCAGTACAAGAAGACGACCTTCACCGGCGCTAATTATCAAAACCGAATTTTCGAGCACGCCGGAAAAACCATGTCGTTCTTTACCGAAGCAGAACACAAGTTTTTATCTATCCCTGAGGATATCAGAATTGAAACGAAATCATTCTTAGATGCAGCAAGTGAAGTAGTTCCCTTTTTCGGTAAGCACCTTTCATTCTAAGATAAAATTCGCTATAGACATATTCGAATGTACAGCTCATGCAATGAAAATTTACATCATGTTTAGACTACTGCGTAATTACCAATGCTTACGTGTCAAATCATGTGCCATGATTTCACTTTGATTTCAAGAACTGATTTATTCGAGAGTTCATCTGTGTAAAATCATTAAGGTCAGTTTGGCGCGTTCGTCATTTCGAAATTTAATTTAGTATTTTTGTGGGATCTAAAAAACAACTCTGACCTGCTGTTTAGAGCGCTGGCAGACGCTTCTGCTGTGAAACTTCAGCTTATTTTTCCCACAGCTATTTTAAATTCTTAAATTATTCATGCATGATCTTGATGAATAACACTGCAGACCAATTTGAAAAACGCTGGAAAGGAAATAAAACGATATTGAATCGTGAAAATTTATGTTGATTTGAAAACAATGGCCAAATGCATTTTTGAATTATGCCGTTAGACTGACACTTGCAATAATTACTAATCAGTTATCAGCCGCAAATTCGCGATTTCAGCGTCGGCTAAGTATTGATATGCTCAGAGAAATATTAGTCACCGTCAGAATAGAGAAAGATTGGAAGCAATCAAAAGAAAGTATTGAGGGCTAAGGAAAATTTTAATGTGCCACATTGCACAGCTCTATTGCAGTGCACAAAAATGTTAGGTTTTTCTTTTGAATTGTCTGCCACAAGTTTTACAACAGCAGTTTATATGGGTGCACTATTTGGATGATGTGAAACTAGATAATTACAGGAGATAGGAATGTGAATTTGCTAGTCTGCAAAGGAGTATTGTGTGGCATCTTGTCTTGGCAATAATGCAGTTTAGCAAAATCATGCAATCCTTATGTCATCAATTGCAATATGGAAGTGAACATGATCTACAAATGAACAGCATGTAATTAGTTTGGCTACAGAAAGTGATATTTAGGCACTTCTAGGATAGCTAGTCCTATGATATTTTAGGGTGGTTAACAATTTGATGATCGGAATGTGATTTATCAGTTTGCCAAAGAGGTGTGGTTGACTGTCTCAGCATGTGAACAATGCATTTTTATGTGTCTTGCATTTTAATTGCACAATCCACTTCATCATATCAATCACATTAAGGACGCCCCCATGATCTTCAAGGGAGAGGTTTGGAAAGGGAAAGTGGGATGGAAGTGATTTTATATGCAAGTAGTGAGATATTTTAAGGAAGAAACATTGAAGGTAAAAAAATAGATGACCAGACTTGGAAACTTGGAAAATTCTGTGGTTGGGTTATTATATTTCTGGCAAATATGAATTTTTGTAGGACTAACTTTCTAATTATGCATTTCGAAATGATATTATTGCTTTCAAAATTCCATCATTTATGGCAGAATTTTTCATCCACATAGGAAAGTTGGGTTGCTAATTGAGTGATCCTATAAGAATGGATATTAATTGATTTAGCCTAAAGTAGTGCTAATTGTTGCAGAACAAGAATGCGTGCTGTAGTATTGAGTGTGATTCTTACGGTTGTGGGCATTTTTTATTGTTGTTCATTTGACAAGCTAGTGAGGTAGTACAGTCAAAACTTTAATTATCAGGACCTTGATTTTCCGGATTTTATGATTATCTGAACTTTTCGCTTATTCTGACTTGCTTCTCTGGTCATTTATATTGATATTTTTTATTATCTAGACTCTTGATTATCCTGTCTATTAAGCCCAGTCCCCACGAGTTCGGATAATCAAGGTTTTACTGTATTGAGCACGTGACTGTGCTGCTAGTGCTGTGAAGTGTTGTAGTAATACCTTAATTTTCAGGACCTTGATTATCTGGATTTTACGATTATCTGAATTTTTCTGTTATTGGACTAGCTTCTCTGGTCATTTGGATTCATATGGACTCTTGATTATCCTGCCTATTAAACACAGTCCCCATGAGTTTGGATAATCAAGGTTTGACTGTACAAAGCACGTGACTGTCAAATTTTGGTCATCTGACCTTTTGACTCAAACAATAAATAATACCATGATGTTGTAACACAATCTCAATAGCAAATGGCGATTCAACACGGAAAAATGAATTTCCTTCCGGAAGTATGCTAGCTTTTTGTTCAAAAGAGGAGTTTTTCAAGCTTGTTGTCTATACAACTGTCATTAATAAGTCTCATATGAACATGTATGTAAATCTGTGCCTATTTTTGTTATATTATTTGAATCTGTTGTCTCTTAGCAATCGCATGATTGCACCAAAACTAATACCTTCCTGACTTTCAAGTTTGATGCTCAAGGCATCGCGAAGTGACGACATTCATTCGCATCCATGATTTCCAAACTAAACTTTAAAAAAAAAAAAAAAGACTAAATATAGTCAGAAAATGTTTGAAAAAGCTTATCTGCCTTTTTTCCAGGATACACTGATATTTAATCCTTATAATGCCACTTTAAAGGAAATCCTATAACTTCCTGATTTATCCACCCTTTTCTAAAATAGTTGTTTCTTAAGCTTTTTATATCTGGGGTTATAATATTACAGTGTATCATTACCTGTACATTGTACAGGTATCCTGCCTCTAAGGTGTATATGTAATGCTTCAAAAACATGTGGAAAACCAGAAGGTTATGTAAATATGCCCCACATGCCTTGATACAGTGCTATCAGATATTCTTTGATGTTTTATTCCAGGATATTTTTAACTCTTGATGCTGTAAGTAACAGCTCTAGGAAAATGGTTCAAAAGGTAGAAACACTACCTGCCACATATATTATAAATATTCAGTAGAAACACTCATCCATTATGTTATTTAATGACTCTTAGAGTTTGAATGAAAAAAAAAGGACTTTCCTATGAGGAAAAGAAACAAACAGGTGTTAAAAAAAACATACCACATGTTTTTTTTTTTTTAAGTAAATGTTTAACAGAGGCATTGAGAAACTTATCTAAGTGAGATACTAGATTTTATTATTACTAAAAGTTTGGAGGTGTTGCTTGTTCCCTATAAAATGTGAATTGTTTTGCCCAAGAGGCCTGGATTTCTTTGCTGTATTTCTTCTCTTTATAGAGATCAAAAGCATTTTTCTGAATGTATAGTAAAGGCTTTGAAGAAATGAGCAAGTACCGTGTCTCTGGCTTTAGTAGGGCTTGAGTCATATCTCTGAATCCTTTCACTCTTTTATGAGTGGTCAGGAAGTTTTTCCTCCTTATAATATCGAGAAATTAGCAAGCAGATAGATGATAAACATAAGGGAAAATGGTAATGAGAGGATCTAAGATTTTGGGAGTGAATACATTGACAAATGTTCTCCATGAGGGATGGATACTCTTGCTGAAAATGTTTCCTTCATTGGATAAATTTTAATTGGGGCTATGTGACATAATAGTCAACTAACCACAATCATCTTTGAAGCAAGGGAAATGGCTGGTGTATGTGCAGTTTTCTCCTTATCAGGTGGTAACCAGTGAATTTACTGCCTGAAATACCTCCTCTCAATGCCTAAAATCAATTGTAATTCTCAGAAATTCAACTGGTTAAAAGGATTGCTCTACTGATTTGAAATTTTATTCGACTTATTGAGCTTAAATTAAGGAGAAAAGTGTATATGAAAAATAAAAACAATTGTTTTCTTTTTAGATGTGTTAGGACCAACAGCATTTGCTCCAGTCAAATCAGACATCAATGGTAACATAAAAGTAAGGCCTTTTCAAAGTTATGCTTTTTGTTATCTTGTGATGTTTTTATCTTATGATAGAGTATAACCTCTACTGAAACAGTAAGTCAGACTATAGACTCTATACTGTCCACTTCAGCATTCTAATCACTTGTTATTTTTTTCTTTAAATGATTAACATTTCCTAGATTAGGAACCATGAAGTGTAGTTTTAAGATAGGTTTCTTTTTAAAATTTATTTTGATACTCTATAGCAGTGTAGCTGAGTCTCTCTGGCTTTCAAAAGCTGTGAAAAAACCTCCTTTGTATTGATCCACTGGGTGGTTTTTTTGGCAGAAAACAGGAAGTTTATTTTTGGAGCAGTTTGGCTTGTACCCCCCAGAGTTTATTCTCATTTCCATAGCAATGACCCCTCAAACCCCAAGAGTGACCAGCAACTATTTCTCCTTACAGTAACACTGCTGAATTATTGATTTAGATCATGAGAATAAAGGAAATGATCACCAACAGAAGAAGCATTGATTATTAAACAAATTCTCCTTGTCATTACTGAATGAAATGTATGAATAGGAGTAGAGAGAATATAGATAGTGTTGTCAGGGTCCAAAGGGTTAAATGATTAGGGTTGTGGCTACTCTCCCTGAATGTGGGATCTTAGTCCATCATAGGGTACCTCCCAGTATTTGATTGAGTCTCCCTGATAGCTCACTGGAGCTGATTTATACTCTTGGATAGGGAGAGAGACACTGTGAGGGTAAGATGTCTTGATAAGAACACAACAGGATTAACAGGGCATTGCTTGACTTTGGACTTCATAATTCAGAGTCCACCAAGTCCAACTTTTGTTAGCAAAGAAGTTTCAGACTGGAAGCATAAAAGCTTATCTTAAATTTCTTTAAATTTCAAACCAGTGAATGCAT